TTACTGACACAAATTTGCTTGCGGTAATGTGTATCCCCAATGCCCCCTCTCTTTGGTTGCGGTAACATATTTTACGTTGGAAATTATTGTTAAAAAATCGACATGGATGACGTCACCTTAACTCAGTCAACTCATATTATGACATCATTATAAAATCGGTATCTGCATCGGCTGGATTGTGGCATGAATAATCGGTAATATCCGATTGTTGCACAATCAGTCAACCACTAGCAATTTAATGTGAGCTTGTGGATATACTATTGTTAGATCATCATCATGGTCAATGAAAAGCTTTTTCAAAATTATCCAGGCAAAAATCTATGACTCTCAGTATCATGGCCTAATAATTTCCCCATATATATGATATACACTCACTATTATTAAACCAACCGTCAGCAGCCCAGCTAGATGAACGTTCAAAGAAAAACCGCCACGACTTCACTTTTTATATTATGAAATCGTCACTGCTAGCGGAATATTTTCTCGTATATAAAACACAAGACAAACACATCCTGCTCAACTCGTCTCGCTAAACCATCCAAGCCCAGCTTTTATAATTTATACAGCAAATTGTCGTCGTATATTATAAATTATCTACATTTTTGAGCTTCGAATTCAAAATCTCGCTGTAATAAAACCGATATTATTGAAACAATTTATCCAATAACATTGACCTACCTTGCTAACAGTGGACGATCAGTTCGACAGTTCAGGTGGAAGACCAAATAATGAAGATTGAAGAACTATTCTCTAAAATCCAAGTAATTCTATGTCTCCTAATTGATTCTATTAACCGTTGGATTTCTACGATTTAGGAAAGCGCGCGAAAGCATTCACTTCGGCCTCCCATATCAAGCTTTTCCCTCTCCCCGGCGCTTTGATGTTGCGTGACGCGCGCGCGGAAGCGCCAGGGACGAGGCTGCCGGGCCAATGTTTTCTTTATAGTTTTTCAGGGGGAGGGGACAAAAGCCACAAAATAAATAATAATTGAAAACTGTGTTTCCACGCGCTGAAAATCCACTTCCTGTCCATGTTTTGAAAGCTGAGAAAAGCGCGCAATTTGGTCATCAATCCCTATACTGTGATTTGGTGAAGTAAATTGTACTTATAAACATTTTGTATTGTGATTTTGTTGCCCCCCCCATTTTCACCTTGCCGTTTTCCACCCAAAAATGGCTGACAAGGCCTGGACAGTGAACTGAATTTATTTACCTGGAACGATAACATTCAGTCATTTGGCAGTCAAAAAGTGAAGCCTCGCTTGCTAGAATTTGCGAAATTTGTTAAATTAAGGATTATGGAATTTTCTGCTTTTGCGAAAACCGCTTTTGCGAAAAATTTTGGGAACTTTTGTTTTCCGAAACATAACGTCGACCTCCCGTTGAGCGGGCCCTGATATGGAAGGGGCCCAAAGTTTTAAGCACTCCCATTACAGATACCGCTTGGCACGCGGCCTGAGTAATGTTGGCATATTGGCTTCACGTTTCTCCCACATGTTATCATTCCAGATAAAAGGCAGGAGTTCACTGGGCCTGGACTAACAGCGCACGTGAAAAAAGGCCAATTTCCCTCTTCTTTATATATGAATTTCTTATCCTCCTAATGCAAGAATCACGTAAACTGTGACACTGTGTGCCATATCAACAAAACTATGTACATATTCAAAAGAATTTCAAAAATGACCTGGGGAATTGTGTTTGTGAATTGCTGACGCCATCACAACTTCGTTAGTGCGACTTTAGAAACGCCTGAGTACAACTTAACTCGCCACACGACCTATGCTCTGGGTTTGACGGACGTGGTCGAAAATTTTTCACGTCATACACCTCAAGTTGGTCAAATTTGGCAAATTTTCTCCTACTCATGCGTACTCATCGTCAGCAGATATCTTAAACAACATTGGCAGGTCTGTGAACTCTGTGTAAAACGCAAAGGTTTTAATTTTTCATCGAAAGTCCGCTGGAAAAATGAGCCTGCTGTACTGAGAGAAAATTTACTGAAAACTACAACGTGCCTCGCGTTTACATTTTTTCGACTTTTGTATTTGTTTTTTTTTTTAATCTTATCATAATTAATAACGTTGTTCGAGTATCAAAGCTTTCTCTGTTATATATAATTTTTTTGAAGTTTTATGTTCTTTCACATAAAATTTTGGTTCTAAAATTACTAAATTAGCATGTTCGACCTACATGGGTCCTCGTATATATAAGCGCCCAGAATCAGATTCCGGCAAGCGTGTGCCGTATTTTTTGTATGGAATTATAGAGTAAAACTAATCTTTGAACAAATTAATACCGAAATTGCAGAAAAGGCAGTAACTGAATCAGGCCAATATTACACTAAATACTTTGACAGACTTTGTTTTGAAACTAGCCATATATAGCAAATTGAAACGAGAATCTTAGATTTTGCGATATTTACAACATCGCGTAATATAATTTACTTTTACTGTTGAAGCCCTATTGCAACGTGATATGTAAATTGGCAACGAAGAAAGGAAGCAGAATAAATTATGTATGTTTGTAATTCCTGGCAATGTAAAGGCGTCTGCAGGCCATACAATGGACAATATATGTTTTAGATATAAAATTTTTTAATAACATAACCCGTTAATAATAAAATTTTTCTGCCCTTATACATAACAACACAAGATATCAACCTGAATGACAGCGATAATGAAACAGACTTACACATGCATGCATGACTGAAAAAAACTGGCGACAGAAAATGATAAACGATATTACATGGCTACGAAAGCACTCATCTTCTTCGAAGCTATACAGAATACAAGACAGAAAGCAAAGCGATTGTTTACATGCTTTTTACCACTTGCTTAGAATTCGAACACTAGCTTTTGTACAAGTACTATGGAGTGACGTTGTACTGTATATATGAGTACTTACTGAGCAATTAACTAATTCACGACACATCTATTTGCGGCTGGCATGATTTTAGAAGAATTAGTAGGAACTCTGGTTTCGCTTGGTTCCTCATTAGTCACACAAGTGCCACGTATATCTCGCGAAAATCTACAAAGACATTACTGGCTTATATTCGAGCAAAGCTCTGAAGACAAAGAGCAGCAACAAGGACTAATACATCGCGAGTATGAACCGCATGAACCTGCAGATGTACCATATTACGAAGAGTTAAATGTTCCTGTTTTGACAAACACCGAAAGTCGGTCGAATCGGGGTGTTTGTGAATCATTACGTAGAAGTTTTCAAGTAAATTTTGTCTTACTGCTTGCCGTAGTTTTATTGGGTCTGGTCGCAATTGCTTTGGTTTATGTTGACTTGAGTACAACGAATTCCTGCTTCGAGTGGCAACATTTTAACCACAGTATACCATCAAGTAAAAAAGCGTTAAAAACTATGGGCGCGTCTCTTACTGCTCTACCTCTCTACCTATGGTTTCCAGTAAGTGCAGCAATGCTGTGGGGTTTAAAAGAGTTCAAAGAAAATTATTTGTCGTGCTTATTTGTGTCCTGCTTCATGTTGATCATAAGGATAGTATGCAGAGCGGTTTTGTTTGATCAAGTGACAACGAGCACAAAATACAGGTATGCAACTTACAATTTTTAGGCCTCGTGTGGGAAGTTGACCTAGCTGCAGAACTCGCATTAAATCATCCTAACACGCCTAATTAATCCCCCTTTATATACTGAGCTCCTTTTTAAAGGAGTAGTATCACACAAAATATCACCTTACATTCTTTATCTGATTCTTATATATTGCAAATGTACCAAACAAGGTATTTTTATCGTAATATTTGTTGATTTTGGGTAAGATACTGAAAACAATATCATGGTGTGATATCAATCCTTTAAGACACTCAATTTTAAGCAAATAGTGTTTATTAAAACGCTTGCTTTGTACGAGTTTTACTTATCGTCCACACCAATCAGTGACGTAGCAAGAGGGCGGGGGGGGGGACTTGGTCGCTGGGGGCACGGGGTTTTTGGAAAACTGCTTTCAAAGTGGAGACTGTTCAAAACGGAGACCTATTGGATTAGTGTGGACGGGCGAAGACAAAGGTTTTCAAAAACGCCGACGTCATGAACACTATAAAACGTGCGATTATGCCCATGAGTTGTTTTACCTAATTACTTGTCTTGCACGGGATAGTATATTGATCATTAATATTCCAAGTAATAACTTGGAAAGACACCGAAATACTCTACACTATCACAGGTTATATTTAATTTATCTCTGAAATTGCAAAGCCACTACATGCAAGCGCTATTATCAGCGAAGTTTTTAGGTCAAACTTCGATAAATTTGCCTATTTCTCCATAAAAAGTTTCCTAACCTTGTACGAGTTTTGCATGAATAGCGATAAAATAAATAAGGATCGAAAACAATGAGAATTATCGTTCTCTAAGTGCTAGTGTGCGCGGTAAAAAACGATCCGGGAACGCTAGTGCAGACGCAGATATTTGCAAGTTGTTTTCGAAATACTAAAAATAGGTACGCAGTGCGTACATGTTGCATGCCATCTGAAACCATATGGTGCCCTAGCGCTTATAAATTTTGGTACAACTGGCCTGAAACTTAAAATATTGATTCAATAAGTTTAATACCAATATATTTATTGAAAAATAGCTATTATGTTAAAATAAGAAAAGTTAAGATTCCCACGCGAATAGGCAATGTTTTTATGAACGACTGTTCATCCAAGCGACGGCTGTAACAAGGTCAAGGTTATCACTGATTGACTGTTAGATTTCCTTTAGAAATTTATAACTGAATGATGTTAATTCCTACAAATTTAGCTTTATAATAGTTTTGTTTGTGGAAACACCACGTAAATTTATTACTGCAATTATTAAATTATTAAAACACCACGTAAATTTATTACTGTAAATTTATAAATTTAGCTTTATTTTGGCTTTTTGAAGGTATAAAAACCCATGGAAACTGTGAATTGCTATAATAGATTGAAAATAATCTCGACTACGATTGAAATTGTTCGAAGTAGAATGCTATTTCGTTGTATTAAATTTCGGTAGTATTAATGAGAATTTTGTTTCATATTCTGATAATTGATAAATAATCAGTGCGAGTACAACGGCTCCAAAATCACAACAAATAACAGAATATAAGGTAAATTAAAAACAGCAAAGCTTTACCTACCTCCATCTATTTTTCTAAGGCGCTCAATTACGTAAATATTCGGCGAACAATCGATATTTTCTTTGCGTTTCCTCGACGAAAGCCGTGAACGAAAGCGTGCAAGAGTGATTCATCACACGAAAATGTTCGTCAGAAAAACTCGGTGTTTGTCGTATTTTCACGTCACGTGTTTTACCACCGCCGTTACACCGCGACACGAAATTTAGAGCTACAGTATATGAAAGTTGCATGCCATATATGGGCATAATCATGCCATATAGGGGCATAATTTATGGGCATAATTTAGTTAAATAATTTATTTTCCTTATAGATTGGTTGACAATTCGTTATTTGTGTTTACCATTCTGTTAAGTATCTATCTAGCGGCGCGGCAGTTCAAGCAAGTCAATCCAACATCAGACTCCCTCTGCCACATATTTTTCTGTCTTTCTTTCGCATTCCTAGCATCTATCGTCCTCTCCTACATTTACACCTCTATCATCGCCGAGCAGTTTAAAGAAACACAAAACAAGATAAAGAAAGCCATGATCGCCGCCCTTACACCAGGAATGGTATTGCTGCCAACTGCTATTGCAAAATACCTTGTGTTGCGAAGAAGCTCAGAATTAATCCCGGCAGACAAAGCTTTTGTGATGTGTTATTTTATACGCGGCGGGGCGATTGGACTTTACCGTACAATGCAGTCAGATTTTCAAAACATCTGGCTTTTTACTGGCTTTTCTCTGCTTCATGGCGTCTCAAACGTTTTGAGTAAAGCAGCACTAAACCTTCGTATCAAAATGTGGAAATGTTTCATTGGTTGCGCCAACAAGACTCGTTGTGGGGCAACCCTAGAGGTGTTACCCGCTGATACTCCGCGTATCCGTCGTTTTAACGCAGACCTTGAAATCCAAAATATTTTGTCTGAGTACACTACGGTTATATTAAGTCAGGCTTATTTGGTCCTTTATCTCGTTACCAATTTTAATGTCGTTCATCCCTGGGAAATTATCAAGGGTTCGTTGGTCAGAATTTGCATAAGCACAGCTATAGATTTCGTGTTCAACATTATCTCAGTGTTTATTCAAGTTCATTTCTATGATATTCCCTTGCGCAGGGTGTGGTTCAAATATTGGAAACGTCACGTGATTGCGAATTCTCTCGTCATCATCTGCATGGTATCGTATTTTGGTAGGCCGCTGGCCGGTGTGTTCGAGGCGCGCGAGGACAGGTCACTGGAATATAAATTACGAAACTGCACGTCACTCATTTGATAATTCTCAGCAGAGTGACTTACACAGAACTTTGCTTGATGTTCTAAGTCAATCACAACCTTAGAGATGGAATAAGATGGTGACGACCGGGAAACCAGAAAAAAACAACTTTGGACTGTATCTGGAAACATATACGAATTTTCTCTTCATACTGCTGTAGTGTAAATGGTTGATGTATCCGAATACTCGAATCCAAAATTTTAGGAAATCCTTTGCTCTGGTGCAAACGAGGTCACAATACGTTATATAATTAAATACGTTATGCAAAGCGTCCCAGAAAAATGCAAACACACCTTATTATTGGAAAGCATCAAACATTCAATCGAAAAGAATCGGAATTTTGACACCCAAACGTACAGTATTGCAAACACATCTTGTTGGAACAGTATTGTCACAACTTGTTAAACTTGTTAACAAACTTACTACAAACCCATTGCAAACACATCTTGTTAAGTTGTTGGAACAGCATTGTCACAACTTGTTAACAAGCTTGCTACAAACCCATTGTAACAACATTGTCACAACTTTATTTATGTCGTTTACTGAAAGTGTATCTTTTTCTCCAAAAACAAAGATGAAAAGTTAAACTAAACGGTCCGTTAGTATAAACAGGAATTATCTGGGGGGGAAATGGTATTAAAAACGTTTACGACCTTCATATAGCTAATGGACGTCAATTTCCGCCTTCTTGCCTTACAGGCCCGAACGGCTGAAGTTGAGGTTCAACCCCACTGAGGTTCCAACAAGAGAGGGCTAAGCCCCCCCCCCCCCTGAGATCCCCTTTTCTACACCTCTGCTTAATAACCAACCTTTATCAAAACTCTGATCCCAATCCCAAACCAAGTAAATACACCACTCAAAACGATGTCATATAATATGAGACCAACAACGCATATTTACACCCAAGTAAAATGAACCAAATGCAAACAGTGAACTCTAGAAATATTGGAATGATAACTTTAGGTAAACGGCCCAATGACTGGGTGAAGCCAATATGGCGGCCACTATAGTGATCTCTTATGCGTACAGTATAAAACACGCGTATATTTTTTCCGAACGATTTTCATTTTTTGCACGTAAATGCTGATTTTTAGTAGGGAGTTTAAGCTTCGCGTTAATTTTGTGGTATCAGGCAATAAAGAGTAAATAAACTTGCTGTTTTAAAACAGAAATACATAATTATTCTTTCGACGCAAGAAAGAAAATATGAAACGAAAATATGAAACGAAAACGTTCAACGAAAATTTTGCCAAGAAAGTTCAAACCTGCCGTTTGCCGTTCCCAGAAACGTGAAGCTTAAACTCCCTAGTACCAAATTCTCTACTCAAAAGCTAAAAAGTTAAAATTGATGCAACTGTAGTCCGTGTTAGTCTGTATTTAGTTCAAATTCCTCAAAGACAGTCCATGTATTTCTCCGCGGTTTTTTTCACTCGTTGGATAACTTTGCTTTTTATTATGAAGTGTTTCTAAAATGTGCTTACTCTAAAAGAGCACTTATTCTTCTTAGGGTCATGGTAAAGCCGGACTTAAAAAATAATTGGTTGAAATATTATTAAATTTCTACCTGTACATGAAATGATGCCGATTTTCGGTACTGAATGAAGTATTCACAAGATTGGCTTCAATTTCCGCCGTCATTGGCTTCAAAAACACAGCCGGAGTTATCGTTCCAGTTTTTATAGAGTTCACAGAATACAAATAACGAAACCACGGATTTTCCCTTGTGGTTGAAACTTGAAAGTGCATCACCCGAACATTTCGCGCGCAAATTATCCTCTCCCAAAAAAGAATAAAAACTCCTTTGTAACATTTTACATCAACAAAAGAACTCTTGCCTCGAAATGATAGTCCATGCATCCTTTGTAAACTTCTTTGCTTGGTGCTTTCCCTCTCATTCTTTGCATGGCATATGCAATCCTCCTTCAGCCAACGGCGAGTATCTATTTATGAGCAAACCGTTTTTGCATCACGTCCACCTTTGATTTTCCCTAAATAATTAACAGTATAATGGATTCAAAGAAACATTTTTTATTATACTGTATAGTGTATAGTGTATAGTGTATAGTGTATAGTGTATAGTGTATAAGTATAGAGATTTCAGTACAAAGATGAAATAAAAAGTATATCCTCAAGGCGAACGATATTTTCACATGTGAGATCAGTTATCCTATATCAGCGATTTGATTGGTTGGATTATTCTCACATGTGGTAATTGGTAAATTAACGCATCATCGTTTTGATTGGCTAGTGTTTTCGAGTTCATAATTGCAAACACTGCACTTCGCTGAAGTGAGAGGGTTTACTGCATTTTTCATTTTTCGCGGATGAATTAATTTCACGTAAAACTTATTAATACTGTACAACTTTAATTAAATACAATACAATACAATAGTAATTTTATCCGACGTTTCGACTAGATTTTAGTCATCATCAGGAATGTGAAATTACTATATATATCATACGCATACATACGACATATAATTTAGCTCTAAATCTTGATTTGCTAGTCCATATTCATTATAAATACGCCTGATACACAACAACTTGCAACACAAGGCATGCAACAGGAACAGTTTTACTCACTATTCTTGTAATGCTTTTTGTTTTATTTCTCTCTTTAATACTTGGTGTTTTAAACCCATTAAGCTAGAAAATAGATTGTAAATTCAATGTAATGGGAAAAGGGGCTCCAAGGGGCTCCTTTTTTGACGCAGTGCGCCCTCAATTTTACATTGCTTCCTGCGCATCTGCGTTTGTACATTTACGTTGCTGTTAATTTAACGGTAGGGTTTAACGACAGGCGGGTGGGGGGAAGGGGCGGCCTTCCCCCAATAATTTCTGGAAGTCTTTTAATAGTAGCAGAATTAAGCCTGGTTTCCATATGGTCGTAACTGTCGCGAACGTGTTGTAACTGTCGTCCAGGGCGTCAGAGTAGTGTTCGCGACCAAATGGAAACATGAAGAAACGTCTTGTCGCGACACGCTGGCAACAGTTCACGACAGTTACAACAGTGTCGTCGAGATAGGCTTGAGTTAGTGGAAACTGAAAGAGCGTGGCCACAGTTTTGCGACAATCAGGTTGGGGGGGAAGGAAGTCACCTATGGGGAGAGACCGTGTTTGGTTTTTTTAAACTACCGCCAGTTACTGCTACCCCTGGGTACGAAATTCACTTTCGAAAGCGTCACGACAGTTACAACCATATGGAAACAAGAAAAACATCGTCAACGACAAACGCTTCCCGACACGTTCGCGGCAGTTATAACCTTATGGAAACCAGGCTTAATTGTCTAACAAAACTATCAACCGTCAAAGATTGATAGGTTATAAACGGAACTATATATTGCATGAAATTTAAGCCAAAAAAAACTTAAAGACCTAAGATGTCCAGCAACAAAAGGTGGTCACGTAGTGGCAACCTATATTTCGTAAAGTGGTCGACCTGCACGTCCAATGTAAATATGGCAATTGAACATTTACCTTTGCTGTTCAAATCTTGTCGGTTCATTTGAATGTCTGTGTGTAATTACCGGTGCAACTGTACAAAACATTTGTTCATTTTCGGCCATTTCTAAAACAGACGAAATACAATAGAAAAAAGAGTTTTCAATTAAAATTCTCATTTGCGAGAGTTGAGAAGCGAGAGTTTGCATTTGCATAAGAGTTTTCTCAACTATTATACCACCGGTGAAACGCGAACAAGAGTTGCATGAGAGTTGATGAGAGTTGACTGGATATTAACTTCGCACCTAGCGAAAACTCTCCTCAACTCTCATCAAAATTTGAATCAGTTCAAAGCATTGAACTATAAGTAAACTGGAACAATAGATTCACCGCCATCTTTGAAGCCGGCCATGAGTGTTTACTGCAGGTAGCCCCAGTCCTTTTTTACAAAATGAATGCGAAAAATATAGATTAAAAATCGTAAAATTTTCTCACTTTTACTTTATTCAAGGCATTTATATTTATCCTAGAGCACACTTAGGCCCTGTTTATATGGAAGTCGGGCTGGTCCGCTAAGAGAGACAACCCGCTAAGCGAGACTCGCTGTGTAGTTATTTTTATAACAAAAATTATCGTGCGTTTATATGGCCGAGATCTAGCTTGAAAGAGGCGAGATCTCGCTTACCGTGATGGAAATTTCTCCATATAAACACTCACAAGCGGGCCTTGCCCGGTTGCCGGGATGAAAGTTGAAGGATACCGCCGCAAGCTATTTTTAACAACTGTCAAAACAACAAATTGTCCTGGCAAGCGGGATGAAATTTTCTCGTATAAACACAACAGAAATTCATCCCGTTTACCGGGCTGTCTCGCCAAGCGGACAAGCACAGCTTCCATATAAACAGGCCCTTAGACCTATCCTTCAGCAGCTGCGAAAAATGCAACTGTAAGCCTCTGAATGCAGTCCTGCGATGCCCGTGCAGGGCTCTAACCAACTGAGCTACATCCGTGGAGCTCTAACCGTAAGTTCATGTATACATACTAAACCAACCGACCCAAACATTTTGTGTTGGCGGAGCTTGAATATGAACGTGGCCCCCCTAAAATACGTCAGATTTGTAATGTACAAACCTGTATCCCAATCTTCATCGCCAACGTCATATAAACCTGGAGTCTGATACGATGGGACTGACGTATCTCCTCTCAGTCTGTCCAGTGACTCGGGATCTTGGTAACATTCTGACGACAAAAAAATATATTGTGCGTTCGTCGTGCAAAACTTTGAGGTTTTGAAATGATCAGCATAGTGGCACCAAGAGCGGACCAACAACCTCCTGGGTCTTGGTCAGCAATAAATGCTGGGACATTGTGCGAGTGTCTAACTGCATCCGTAGGAGGGGAGACCGCGGTCAAACGTAAAGTGCATGCGCGAGTATATAGAATGGGAGTAAATACAAGAAAAGCAAAGAGTTTACTATGAGGAAACGGCTAAAGGTATGGAATTTCATCGCTTTTTCCCTGTGTCAAGACAAAGTTATACGGAGTTTGTACACTATATA